GGTATTTGACAATATTGGCCTTGTACATAACAGTAAGGCCACCCACATCCCTCCTATGTTGAAGGCTCTGCTGAAATGACAGATCTATCCAGGATGGGTCCAGGCGAGAGATGAGACGTCTTGCTCTGTTCTCTACCCTGTCAAGCAGTCGCAGATGAGAGGGGGGGCAGGCAAACCAAGAAAGTGGAGCATACTCAAGGTGTGAGCGTACTTGTGCCTCGTACAGGATCTTGCAACCCCTACTGTCAAGCAGATGCGAGATACGGCGAAGTGCTGTAAGCTTCCTGGCTGCCTTGTTTGCAAGATTTACAACATGGTTCTTCATGGTTAGTTTGGAGTCAAATTTCACCCCAAGGATATCAACTTCTTCTCCAGGTGCCAACATCGTCCCATTCATCCTTATTACTGCACCAGCATTACCATCATGGTGCCTAGAGACGATCATCATTTGCGTTTTCTCAGGTGCAAATGTTACTTGCCATCTATTTCCCCAAGCTGATATAGCTCTCAGCTGGTGATTGATGTAGCTTAGCGCAGCTGGCATTTCTTCTCTTGGATAAGTGAATGTCAGTGTACAGTCGTCTGCATATGCATGTGATTCTGGGATGAGATGAAGAAGGTCGTTGAAGTAGACATTCCATAACAGTGGACCCAGCACACTTCCTTGTGGAACGCTTGCCCCAATAGGATGCCTTGCTGATTCCGTTCCATTGAGGACTACACTTAGAGATCTACCATGAAGGTAATCACTGAGGAGACATAGCGTAGAGCCTGCAATTCCCAGTGCTTGAAGTTTTGCTAAGAGGCCCTGGTGCCACACCCGGTCGAAAGCGCCAGCAATGTCCAGTGCTACCACACAGCTGACTTTGGATTCTCCTCTCTCTCTCTCTCTCTCTCTCTCTCTCTCTCTTCTCTCCTCTCCTCTCTCCTCTCTCTCTCTCTCTCTCTCTCTCTCTCTCCTCCTCTCTCTCCCTCTCTCTCTCTCTCTCCCTCTCTCTCTCTCTCTCTCTCTCTCTCTCTCTCTCTCTCTCTCTCTCTCTCTCTCTCTCTCTCTCTCTCTCTCTCTCTCTCTCTCTCCTCTCGCTCTCTCTCTCTCTCTCGTCTCCTCTCTCTCTCTCCCTCTCTCTCTCTCTCTCTCTCTCTCTCTCTCTCTCTCTCTCTCTCTCTCTCTCTCTCTCTCTCTCTCTCTCTCTCTCCTCTCTCTCTCTCTCCTCTCTCTCTCTTTCTCTCTCTCTCCATTATCATGTGTCTCAAGTCTTCGCTCTTCATATTATTTTCAATTTGTTCCTGTCATGTCCATTCGGTCTCATTTTTCCAGCCTCTCCTTACCAAACAAATTATCTCTCTTCCCCTCCCTCCCTCCCTCCCTCTCTCTCTCTCTCTCCCCCCCCCCTCCTCCACTTCCTCCCTTCCTCCCCCTCCCCTCTCTTCACCTCCATCTCATCCGTTCCCTCATCCCCTTCTTTTGCATCTCTCTTTACCTTTCCTCCTCCTCTCTCTTCTCCTACCTCACTCACTCCCTCTTTCTCTCACTCCTTCTCTCACTCCCTCCGTCTGTCACTCCCTTCCTCCCTCTCTCTCATCCCTTTCCTTTCTAACTTTCCTCCATCCCTCCTCTCCTAATGTGCTCTCCTCCCTCTCTCCCTTTTCTCCCTCTCTTCACCATTTTCTCTTCCCCTCCTTTTCCTCATCCCTTTCCTTCTAATTCTCCTGTTCCACACATCATTTTTGTATCAGCTGTTTCAGGTCAATTTACAGAGATGATTAAAACAAGAACTACACCTCGTACGGGACCAGGAGCTAGGATTCGACCCCTGGCAAACCCCATATCACATCATGCGGGGGCCAGGAGCTGAGACTCGACCCCTTTTAACCACATATCATCACAAATTCGATCTAAAATCCCACAAATACAATTTTCACAATTACGCAAAAAATACAGCAAAAACAGTCGCAAAATACAACATACAATCATATACTGGCAAAATACAGCAGATAAACAATCAGTGAGGAATTGTAAAAAAAAAAATTTGAAAAGACAGTGTAAAAATACAAATAATATAAAAACACACACACACACACTCACACACACACACACACACACACACACACACACACACACACACACACACACACACACACACACACACACACACACACACACACACACGCACACACATACACACACACACACACACACACATCACACACACACACACACACACACACACACACACACACACACACAACACACACACACACGCACACAAAAACACACACACACACACACACACACACACACACACACACACACACACACACACACACACACACACACACACACATACAGTCAGAAAATACAACATTCAAATACTCAGAAAATTCGACATATAAATACAAGATTGGAGAATATGAATACACAAATATACAGTCAGAAAATGCAATACACACACAATCGGAAAAAAATACAATCATAACATTCAGCAAAATACAACACAAGCAGAAAATACAAAGGCCAGAAAATTCAACACATAATCAGAAAAAAATACAACACACAACCAGAAAATACAAGAGTCACAAAATTCAACACACAACAAAATACAACAATAAAAAAATTCAGTACACAACCAGACAAAATACAACAGCCAGAAATACAACACAAAACCAGAAAATAGCACAGTTAGAAAATACAACACACAACCAGTAAAATACACCATCCAGAAAAACACAACAGCCAGAAAAATACAACAGCCAGAAAATGCAACACACAACAAGATAATAACAGAGAATAAACAACACACAACCAGAAAAAAATACAACAGCTTGAAAAATACAACAACCAGAAAATACAACACACAGCTGCACGCCTAATCACTAAATACAGTTTACTCCTTCAGAGTTAATCACAAACCCAGTTTACGAAGGTATTCGTGCCGAGCGCAGTTTACAAGGGAGAATATCGGCTGCGTAACACAATTTACACTTCCCCGGGAACTAATTTATTGTTGACAGCCTAGAGTGAAATTTACAAACGTTTATTCTGATAGTGTAAATATTGCGAGGCTGAGTGGGATATGTAGCGGAAGGAAGGAAGGAGTGTAGGAGGAGGAGGAAGAGGAGGAGGAGGGAGAGAAGGGAGAGGAGGAGGGGGAGAAGAGGATGAGTAGAGGAAGAAGAGGGAGGGGAAAAAGGAGGAGGATGAAGAAGAGGGAGAGGAGGAGGTAGAAGAGGAGCAGGTGGAGGAATGGGGCAGCAGTAGAATGAAAAGGAGGACTGGGGAAGGAGGAAGAAGTGGAGGAGGAAAAGGGGGAAGCGTGGGGAATGAAAGATGAGGGGAAGTGAGGGAGAGTGAAAGAGGAGGGATAAGAGGGAGAAGAGCAGGATGAGCAAAGGAAAATGAAAGGAGGGAGGGTTAAAGTGGCGACTATAAGGAAAATGGAAAAAAGTAGAGAGAGAGAGAGAGAGAGAGAGAGAGGAGAGAGAGAGAGAGACATGGAAACTACGCACTCAGACGAGTCGCACTAAAATCGTGTGAAGGCTCGATCCTCCATCCAGGAGTGTTGGATACTTGATCCTCCGTCCAAGAGTGTTGGAGGTTCGATCCTCCGTCTAGGAGTGTTGGAGGCTCGATCCTCCGTCCAAGAATGTTGAAGGCTCGATCCTCCATCACTAAACTCACTCGTCCACTTGCCTTCCTTCACCTAGCCTATAACAACACTTTTTCAACACAGTCATAGCAAAAAGTAGAATGATTTGGACATTATAGCAGTGAGAAAATAGACCTACATACTGACCTGAATAAGTGGAAAGAAGGAAATATTAGAGCATACAATAGGCCTACATACTGAAATAAATGCGTGTAATGATTATGATATTTGGTCAAAAAAAGGGGGCCTACATTCTGACCTGGATAAATCGAATGATAAAGATGCTAAGGCAGATAATAGGCCTATATAATCACTTGAATAAGTGGAATGAATGGGATATTCGAGTAGACAATAGGCCTAAATAACGACATGAATAGAATATTAGGACAAACAGGAGGCCTATATATCAACACAAGTGGAATAATTATGAAATTAGAACAAACGAGAGGCCTACATGCTCACCTGAATAAGTGGAATGACTACGATACTAGGGCAGAGAATAGGGTTACCAGCCTACTGTGCCTACCACTCCATACTGGGACGGAAAGTTAACACGGCGAAGCTATTTCACGTCAGTGGGTTGACAGAGGAGGAACCAGGAGCTGTGGCTCAACCCCATAAAATCAAATAGGTAATTGGGCACAAGAATCTCTGATAGGTATTAAAAAATAGGAAATTATACGCAAGCTCAAATAGGTAGATATTAAAAGGCAATGAGACGCAAGGGGCTCAAATAGGCAATTAGTAAATGCTAATTACCCCTGAAGAGCTCCAAAATTTAATTACAAATAGGAAAATCATACACAAGGAGCTCAAAAAGAATATACCAAATAAATATTCACACACATACATGGAACTAAAATAGGCAATTCCAAATAGTTAATTACACAGGAGCTCACCCAGGCAAAGTTAAATAGTCACTTTACATAGACAACTTATGTTAACTCATGTTATAATTAACAACTTCCAAAAAAAAAGAGATTCCCACGGTTGAACAAGTTACCAAGGAGAGGGAATTTTTTAATACGGCAAATTGCATGCTCTTGTTAATATCGCAAGTTTAATGGGTTTGAGGAAGCAATCTCCATGGTTGAGTCACACTTGTTGCTCAGTTTTAATCTCTACCCCTCATTGTCAGGGTCGAGAGATGTTCAATATATTTTTGTGGGGGGATGTCTGTGTTTTGATGTTCTCGTGGTGGACGGTCTCTTATGGAAGCTGTCTCTGTCTGTCTGTCTGTCTGTCTGTCTGTCTGTCTGTCTGTCTGTCTCTCTCTCTCTCTCTCTCCTCTCTCTCTCTCTCTCTCTCTCTCTCTCTCTCTCTCTCTCTCTCTCCCTCACCTCACTCACTTACCAAGGACGCTGAGATTGATGAGTTGAGTGATGGTTGGCTTGGTGTTGATCTGACACTCATACGTTCCAGAATCGTTGGCGGTGGGAGACCTGACTCAGAAGGAGAGACATTAGTGTCAAAATCTGCTGCGTTAGTTACTGTTTTGTCAAGTGCACCTGTCGATTAAATATTAGGCTTGATATATATATATATATATATATATATATATATATATATATATATATATATATATATATATATATATATATATATATACATATATATATATATATATATATAATATATATATATATATATATATATATATATATATAATATTATATATGTATATATATATACTCTGAAGGAGGGTGTTAATGTTGCAGTTTAAAAACTGTAGTGTAAAGCACCCTTCTGGCAAGACAGTGATGGAGTGAATGATGGTGAAATTTTTCTTTTTCGGGCCACCTGCCTTGGTGGGAATCGGCCGGTGTGATAATAAAAAAAAAAAAAAAAAATATATATATATATATATATATATATATATATTTGTCGTGCCGAATATGTAAAACTGGTCAATTAGCAAGAACTCATTTAAAATTAGTCCTTTCTGAAATTTTCTCTTATAACGTTTAAGATATATTTTTTTCATTAATGTTAATAAAATTTTTTTAATTTTGCACCAAAGAATCTTAGAAACCTTACCTAACCTTATTTAACAGAGCAATTATTTTAGACTAACCCAACTAAATATATTTAAATACGTTACAATAATTTAGTAATAAACAAACACAATCAAATATATTTTTTTTCGTTAGGTTCAGAATGATTTTGGCGAAATTATTGCATACACAAATTTTCACTTGTCCTATATGGCAAGATGAGCGTTGCTATTTAAGCCAAGATGGCAAGTTCTGCCTATTCGGCACGACATATATATATATATATATATATAATATATATATATATATATATATATATATATATATATATATATATATATATATATATATAATATATATAACATATATATATATATATATATATATATATATATATATATATATATATATTATATATATATATATAATATATATATATATATATATCCCTGGATACTAGGTGTCGCTAGGGACCTACACAGTGATATAGAGATCTACCTGGGTACTAGTTGACACTAGGGACCTACACCTGGGTACTAGTTTACATTAGTGACATACACCTGGATATTATGTAGCACTAGAGGCCTATCCCTAAATACTAGGTGACACGAGGGACCTTCATCTGAATACTAGGTGACACTAGGGACCTACACCTGGGTACTAGGTGACACTAGAGGCCTACACCTGGATACTAGGTGACATTAGGGATCTACACCTGGGTAATAGGTGATACTTAGGACCTATCTGGGTACTAGGTGACACTAGAGACCTACGCCTGGGTACTAGGTGACATACACTTGGATACTATGTATCACTAAGGGCCGGCCCCTAGTTACTAGGTGACATTAGGGACCTACGCAGCTCTCTAGGAGACGCCAGTGACCTACTCTGGGAACTAGGTGACACTAGAGACATACAATTGGGTGCTAGGTGGCACTAGTGACCTACACTGGGAACTAGGTGACACTAGGGGCATACCCCTGGATGCTAGGTGACACTAGTGACATACACTGGGAACTAGGTGACACTAGGGACATACACCTGGATTATAGGTGATGCTGGTGACCTACTCTGGGAACTAGGTGACACTAGGGACATACACCTGGGTGCTAGGTGACACTGGTGACCTACTCTGGGAACTAGGTGACACTAGGGACTTACACCTGGGTGCTAGGTGACACTGGTGATCTACTCTGGGAACTAGGTGACACTAGGGACATACACCTGGGTGCTCGGTGACACTCACCTAAGTCTCAGCACCCACTCGTTACTACCATCGTCGTGGTGGACCTCAAACCTGTCGTCGTTGGTGAAGGTAAAGCGACCCACGGTCAACACGTGTATGTCCTGGTGTCGTACCCATGACAC